AGGAGAGGGTGAGTGAGAAGAAGGTGAGAGAGGAGAGGGTGAGAGAGGAGAAGGTGAGAGAGGAGAGGGTGAGAGAGGAGACGGTGAGTGAGGAGAGGGTGAGACAGGAGAGGGTGAGAGAGGAGAAGGTGAGAGAGGAGAAGGTGAGAGAGGAGAGGGTGAGAGAGGAGATGGTGAGGGAGGAGATGGTGAGGGAGGAGAAGGTGAGAGAGGAGAAGAGAAGAGAAGAGGAGAGGAGATGAAAGAAGAGAAGAGGAGAGGAGGGAAGAGAAGATGAATGAAGAGAAGAAAAGAGCAAAGAGGAGAGAAAAGTAGAGAAGAAATGAGACTAATCATAATAATTACATATTTGTTGCATGTTTCATTTTTAACTTAAAAAAAAATATGGAAGGAAACACCTTGCAAAACTAGTTTGATTCGTGTGCCTTACTTAATTTCTTCCTTTCCTTCTTTGTATACTTTGGAGTAGGCTTTGTGACATCTAATTAATGCAGTCTCTGCTGTGTAAACATCATTAAATAATCAGTTTCTAAGTGTATGAATCTCTCGTGTGGGTTTCACTCACATATTTTCTTGCTTGGTTTGGCGGTATCTTTTCCTTCCAAGGGTGCACTTTGACCCTCAGAGTTCACAGCGATGACCCGGAAGAGGTACTCAGTGTCCACACGAAGGTCAGGGACGGTGAAGGTCGTCTGGTCACCGCTGACTTTGCCGGCCTGGATCCAGGTGGAGCGGTTGGCGGGCCGTGCCTCGATGATGTAAGAGGTCAAAGGTGAACCTCCATCGCTCTGTGGAGGCTTCCAGGCCAGGTCGGCGGATGTTTCTGTCACGTTGGAGATCTCCAGGGGTCCCACGGGGGCGCTCGGTTTGTCTGTCACAAGATAAGATAAGATAAGATAATACTTCATTCTCCCAGAGGGAAATTTTTCTTGGCAGTACAGGACCGTAAAAACACATGCAGGTATACATAGAAAAATTAAATTATATATTTCATCAATTCTATTAAAATCATGTCCAGAGAATTGCTGGCTTTCTTAATGGTTCTGTCTAATGTTTCTTTATCTTTCACCTTACAATTCCCACCCCAGCAGCAAATACAAAATAATAGCACACTTTCAATCATAGAAAGGTATAAAAGGGATGTAATCTTATTATCAACACGGAAACTTCTTAATTTTCTTAAAAGAAACATTCTTGTGTACTTTTGTAACTTTTAGAAGTTTTACACCCCCACTGACAATATTCAGACATGTAAGAGTCAGGACTCTTCGACCCTGCCTTTCAGAGCCAACCCCAACCCGAGGTGAGAGGGATACAACATCTCAACAGAAATGAAAGAGATACTCGAAAAAATTCTCCCCATTCGAGAATCGACTCAATCTTCTGTGTGCCTCGGCGAGGTGTATAATCTAACCGTCATACAACAGATACCGAGGGAAGAAAGAAGTTAAACAACAGAACAGACATAATATTTATCAGATCCACAGCGTTATGTCTCGACTGAGTATGATGGGCCTACAAGAATGTTTTTGTTCTATCAAACAAGGCACAAGGACATAAATCACTGGTTTTCCTTTCTTTCGCTTTCTTCTGCTTTTGATGTTGTCTTTCCTTACTCCAGAATATTTATCTTTCGTTTTGCACGTATTTACCATGCTTCAGTAAATTACTGTCGGTGAAAATCAATCAATATGACAGAAATGTTATCTTATCTTATCTTAACCTATCCTATCCTATCCTGCCCTATCGTGTCCTATCCTATGCTTTCTTGTCTTATCTTATCTTATCTTATCTTATCTTATCTTATCTTATCTTATCTTATCTTATCTTATCCTATCTGATTTCATCTATCTCCAACTCACCGAATGGACTCTTGGCCAGGATAGACGCATCAGTCTCCAGACCGTCTCCTTGTCCGGCCTTGTTCTCTGCGGTGACCTTGAAGAAGTACTCAGTACCCTCGAGAAGGTCCTTGACCTTGAACTGTGTGGTGGCCGCGTCCACTTTACCAGCAGGCGACCACGTCGACCGTTTGGCGTCTCGCTTCATGATGACGTAGCCAGTGAGTGGGGAACCCCCGTCGTCAGACGGTGGCTGCCAGGTCAAGGTCAGAGAATCTTTCTGGACGTCCGTGACCTCCAGAGGGCCTGTGGGTTTGCCAGGCTTGGCTGGAAGTGGGAAGTAGAACAAACAGATTAGACTTACTTAGATGTATGCAAACGGGAGAGATCAAAGCGACTTAACAATGCAACATCACAAATATTGTGGATTTTATTGTTGTTTTTAGCTTGGGTAAAGTGAAAAACAAAAAAAAGTGAATGTCGAAAAAGGAATGTTATGTAGCCCCAGCAGACAGACAGGGACATTTTATCAAACATCTTCTGACACGGGAGTCGACGACTAAGGGCCACATCGCTGCACCACGGTCTAGACTAGATGCAGATCATTTCATAATTGAAAGGTGAACAAAACAATGATGAAATGAAGCAGGAGAAATTTTACAGCCAAATTAGTCACTTTTAAGGACAAGCGGGCTAACCCAGATTTCGGGTGTTTCCAGAAATCTTGACCTACACCAAAAGTTGACATTGCCCTGCCTATAAGAGAAGTTTGGTTTCATTGGTGTGTATATTTGTTTGGTTATAGAGAAAATTCTCCCTGTCTTTTAAAGACACTGAACAAGGGGCAAACACATTACCTTCGATTTTCTCCTTAAAAGCGACCAATTACAAAACAGAGATGAAGAAACCAAGGGTCGAACTTACTGATCTTCCTCTGTGGCGTGACCTTGTCCGACTCCAGGGGCTCTCCTTGTCCGACCTCGTTGACGGCGGACACTCGGAAGATGTACTTCTGGCCCTCGGTCAGGTCTCGGGCGGTACAGATGGTCGTGGAGGCGTCCACAGTCTCGGTCGTCGTCCAGGTCCGGCCGGAGTCAGACGAGAGGTCCACCACGTAGGAGGTGACCTTGGAGCCGCCATCTTTCTTGGGCGGAGACCACTCCAAGGTCACGGAGTCGGCGAGAACTTGCGAGAACTTGATGGGGCCAACTGGCTTTCCGGGAACAACTGGGAGAAAATTCAAGATATCGCGTTAGACAAACATTCAAAAATTAAAAAATAATAAAATAGTTCGGATTATTTCTTTCCTGTCCTGCTGAAAATGTGGCACGACTTTGTTTGCTCTTCTTAACACACACACACACACACAC